AAAAATGAGCCCGCCAACCATAGAGTGCCGCTTTACTGAGAGTTAAGACAATGTGAATCCATATCTGATTGGTTCCCTTTTTTAGGCCTTCTCAGTGTCACAAACGGGAATAAAGATTACATTTTCACCAATTGCAAAGATTATAATCTGGAATGGACCGAGGAATTGCGGGTTCGGCAAGGAACAAACGGAATGAGGGAGGGAACGGAGAGAGGGATTTAAGAATGAGCCGATCAAAGATTACGAAAAACTTTCAATTTGTGTAATATTTATTCCCATTTGTGACTCCATAAGGGGGGTTGTCTTAACTCTCAATATGAAGGGACTCTAACCGACCATATAATATGAACGACTCCTTAGTTCTTGTTATTCATAACTTTTTTGAGAAAAGAGGATTTTTCGGGGGAAATTTGGCAAGATTCGAGTGTTGATACGGTGTCGTTGTTGTTGATGATTGGCGCGGGAGCACTACAATGTGATCGGCGGGAAGTGTGTCGCGGTCATGATGCTCTGCTATTCCAGCGCGGTGGAGATGGAGACCCACGCGCCCACACTCGGGAAGAACCGCGGATATCCGTGGGGTCCCCGTGGGAATTGCGTGGTTTTGGCGGGGCAGTGCGAGTGGCCATCGGTAACTGCCGCGCTCCACCAGGAGGCTGCTATGTGGACGGGCTGATTTTTTGCGCTGCGATGTGACCGTGACCGCTGGATTGGGATTTGGCAGGAGTTTCACTCGCAAGAGAACCTAGATACGCCCGTGAATTTCTATACGAATCATCATTATCCCATACGAAGACTCCAAACAAGCGCCATTCCATAGACCAACCAAACCATAGTCATATCCATACGCAGTTGCGATATATTTTACAAACAACCCCCCCCCCCTTCGCAGCTATTTTCCCAGCGAGTGAATGGAAGTCACCCAACAGAGTCAACTCTCAATAGACTGATAAAAAATAGAACATCTGAAATAGATAGACAAAGAGATTGTGTTAAAACTATAAACAATGTGATAGATTTAGCGATAGGCACATCGATAGACAAAGCAATGTACAAAGGGGAGACACAGAGGGGAAATGGAGCGATCCTGTTGGTTATAATGCAGAGGCGTGGCGTGCTTTCCGATAAATCGATTGATCGGCCATTTAAACCCATGAAAAAATATCGATTATTAAGGAGTTTGCAGCAAACACCTTAGTAATCGATTCTCCACCATAGCTTAAAATGGCGAGATATTGATAATCGATCATTCACGCCACGCCACTGTTGCAATGGACAAAGATGGCAGGTAATAGACTATCTGGGCCGCGTTTAGCATAGAGAGGAACCAAGCCACATCAGCCAATGCCAAATTCAACTGGGCAATTTAATTTTTCACAAGAGAACGTTTGTGCGGATTCCATAGAGTCGTAATGTGATTGGGAGAGCTGGGACCACTTTTAAGCATTTTCCAGGTCCCGAATTCGATGACTCCTGAGCAGCGACGGGTCACTTATTCGATACATAATCGATTGTTTGCGATACACGGGGACTTGGTCATCCGATGTAAACAAAGAAGATAGGAATTACTACATATTCCACACCACCATTTTGGATCGAATATGTATAGAAAAAGTGACCCACACACCGGGCTCGGGTCTCGTCGTCCAGGACATGGTCCCAGCTCTCCCATTTATATTACGACTCTATGTACTTTATATATGCTAACGACAATCTACGAAGCTCTGAATAGCCAGTCCTTCATTTTCCCCCTTATTAGTCTACAACAACTACCCGTTTGAAAAAGAATTTCTCCATTTTCCCGTCGTCTTCTTTGTCTATCGCTCTGTCTATTATTAATTTCAATAATCAATCTATTGGTTAATGGTTGAACGCGAAGTTGCCGGATGATGTAAGATGAAATTCTTTCGCCGAATTTTTCAGCCGAACTCCATTAATCTCCATACGCTTCGATGTTTGATAACCAATGTCTGTCAGAGGGGACCAATGTTCATGTCATTATTTCAACTGACAACTTTCTCGTCATTGCTTTTTGCCCTACATTCATTAAAATTGACTATAGCATCTATTTTCACTGTCGGAATGATCCAACTCATCGTTGTTGAAGTTGAAAGCGCGTCAAGAGGATCCTCGGCTTTTTTCCTACCCGCGCGTTAAAGTCTCCAAGCCTACGTCGGGTGCCCCGCTCCCGCTACACGAAAATAGAGTCCCTTTGTACTGAGAGTTAAGACAATGCGAATCTATTTCTGATTGGCTCCCGTATTTTAGGCTTCCACAGTGTCACAAACGGGAATAAATATTCTATTTTCACCAATTGCAAATATTATAATCTGGAATGGACCGAGGAATTATGGGTTCAGCAAGGAACGAACGGAATGAGAGAAGGAACGGAGAAAGGAATTTGAGAATGAACCGATCAAAGATCACGAAAAACTATAATTTGTGTAATCTTTCTTTATGCCCGTTTGTGACCGCACGAGGGTTGTTGTCTTAACTCTCAGTATAAAGGGACACGAAAACTTTACCACGGCCTAAAGATCACCATGACAGCCACTTATCTGAGTGCTCCCCGGTGACCTCAACTACTTATTTTTGAAAAATTTTGTGGTTGTTCGGGGAAAAAAGCGAATGGTTCGATTGGTCTTCATGAAGGGAAAATTTTAAACCCGGAAGGAGATGAGTGATAATAGTAAACTGGCCAACACCGGGTACATACGTATTCAGCCGCTGAATTGCAGCGTAAACAGTTGGTTTTGACCGCTCATTTTGTATCCCCTCCGTGAAATGTAGGGCCGCGAACATGATTTAAACGGCAACATGTCCATTTTCCATGGTTATGTTATTCATATGTGCCAAATTGTAAGAAAAAATGTGTCGAGTTCTGCTGTGCTAAGGAAAGACGCCGTATGAGCCTTCAGACGTTGCCAAATTTCCTTCGATAAAAATCGAATTTACTGGAAAAATTTTGAATATTTTCCCCCAAAATTTGTAGATGATTTTGTACGCGATTTAATGTAAAACATCTGAAAATTTCATGGAAAACTATGCTTAAATTCCGTGAAATATACACGCTTTATCGGGGGAAATCTGGCAACTCTCAAATGTTCAGACGGCATTCTCCCTCAGCACGGCAGAGTTGCGCTTCCCTTAAAGCTTGAGAAGGAAATAAAAGAGCATAATTCCTAATTCAATCATAGAGTATGGAGCGAGATGCGTCTGAGTTTTTCGAGTAGGCTTTGGCGGATCCAGCAAATTGGCAACATTATTTTTTTTCCAGTTAAACTTTTGGAAATGTATCGATTTTTAGAGGGGCAAGGTCGACAAGAATAGATTATTGTTTAAATGGAGCAAATCCGGTGTTGCCAAATTGGACCACATTTTGCAATTAGGAACTATAAATTCCGGCCCGGTTTAAAAACAACGTATGTGCCATTAGTTTCCCTATGCACATAAGTGTTTTTTCAGATGAGCCAGAATTGAGGACATTGCACCAAGAACAACCTATAACTGGAAACCGCGTTTTGAGAAAAACGCATTTAAAGTTTTGTTTTTGATGTACTGCGCAGACTTTTCAATGCAGGTACCCTGTTTCGGTGTTTTTGGGTGACCTAACCCTTCTACTGAAGGATGCCGGGTAGATTTTGCGATACATTTTGGGTTTACGCTCTAATATATTAAATTTAAAAAAGCGATTTATAGGTCGTTATTACGTCCAACAGTCATTTTGGTGGCAATATGCAGTATAAATCATTTTAATCACGCATGATTAACGCAAAATAAAAGAATATCGATGGTGAGTATAGAGAGGGGTAACTAGCACATTATAGGCCCTTAAATTTATAGGCCCGTATTACGCCCAACAGTCATTTTGGTGGCAAAATGCGAAGTATACATTTTTGGAGGAAAGATAGTTTGAGAGGAGAATAAATTATTTCAATAGCTCGTTTTTCTGAAATAAAAACAAATCTTTATAAAATGAGATCAAAAAATCGAGCCATCACTATCGCCGCGCCGCGCCGATGCCCGCTAACCGAGAATGATAAGGCCGCGCGTATAGGTCGTTCTTGCACCCATCGATCCAGAGGCCTGACTTGCCTCGGAAAAAAAAGGTTTTTCGACCTCGAGACGTTACCTATCTATATTCTATCGCTACCACAGCATAGTCCAGGGTACGTAGAATCCGAAAAGCAGATTGGCGTAATAACGACCTATACGCCTATAGGTTGTTCTTGGTGCGGTGTCCTCAATTTATAGGTCCAAATTGCAAAATTCAGTCCAATTGTTGGACCCGCTTCTGCGAGTCGGTAACTATTCGCGATCGCCGGTGGGTTTGGTTGCCTACCCGGCGAAATTGAAGGCGAACCTTGAAAGGACGATATTCACCATCAGACTATATCAACGTGTAAATATTCAAAGCTTAATCCACGCCGAAAAAAAATATTGGTAGAATTTACCATTCCTTCACGCTGTATTTCACACAGCGTTAAAGCAGGGTCAATTCTGCCAGCAGAAAGGTAAACGCACAGGTCTAGCAGAATCGACTTGAAGATTGGTAGAATTTACCATTCCTTCACGCTGTGTGAAGTATAGCGTGAAGGAATGGTGAATTTTACCAATCTTTTGTTTTCGGTGATGTTACACTCCAAGCTGTCGGAGTGGAGCGGTAATGTGAGATTATTAAGTAGACCTCGTTAAGCAGAAAGAAAGCAAGCCACATCAGCTATTGCCAAATTTAATTGGGAACTTTGATTTTTCACTTGAAATCGGTTGTGCGTATTTTTGTGCAAATTTTAGTGCATTTTCTGCATAGTACGAATCAGCGAATTCCGTAATATTTTCGAAGGAATCCGCACAAACGTTCCATTGTAAAAAATTAAATTATCCAGTCAAATTTGGCAAAAGCTGATGTGGCTTGGTTCCTTTCTGCTAACTCGGCCCACGTACATACCTATGCATTTTATTTGCTTTAATTGCAACCTCTTACAATTATCTTGTTCCAGTGTCAAGACTAAAACGGCCAATTCGCGGGAACATGTGAGAGAACTTCAGAAGAATGGTTCAACGTCTAAGTAAACAGCACTATCTAGCAACACCAGGGCAGCTTGATCCTTACCTCAACTCCCGACGGTATATGCAACACCATTCATTAAACAAAGGATATTCAACTGACGGTGAGCTGAAATCTTATTGTTTTTTGGGCCAAATGTGTGCTCACAAATACTTTGACCAATTTCATAGTAAGAGCGGTGGTGTCTTTTAGATATCACCTAGTCAATGGACATTATTGGACCTCTGATGGGCTAATTACTGAAATTGATAGATAAAACGCCAGACAAAGGGGAAACGGAGCGATCCTACTGGTTGAAACAGGGGATTGTAATGGACTGAGGGAAAAATGATGGACTAATTATGAGGTCTTTCGTTGGTTGCAGTTAGTTGGTCTAACTCACCTCCTCTGTCCATTGAAACTACTCGATCGTTTCAACTAAAAAGATCGCTCTATTTTTCAATTGTCTTTTTTGTCTATCGCTCTGTCTATAAATGTCCGCTGATCCGTGGCGCAGCCAAGGGAGAGGCAAGGGGGTCTCAACCTCACGCTCACGTCTCAATGCTGGAAAATCCCCCTCCCCCTCCCCCTCCCTCGAATGTATTTTTCGCGATTTTCAGGAATTTTTAACATGCGCCCCCGACCCTCTCCTGCATGAGACAGTTTTTGACCGCCTCGTTCACTCTTAGTCAAAAGAATCGATCGGTGAAGGAAAATTAAAATGTCTAAAATGAGGATTTTCGGTGTTTTTTCGGAGCAGATGGAACATGTTACCCTGCTGAATTTTTCTCATGGGAATGACATGTGATCACATGTACCTCACGAGAATGACATGTGATCACATGCACCTCACGAGAATGACGTGTGATCACATGCGCTCTCAAGGGAATGACACATCACATGTGCTCCCCTGGGGAATGGACAAGGGAGCCAGTGAGCTCCCGTGGGGGCTAACATGTGACCCGTGCGCTCCCATGAAAGTGTATGTGACCGATGTGACCCGTATGTGCTCTCGCGGGACCTCTCACGGTGTCTCGTGGATCATCATAGAACTTCAGGGAAAATGCCACGGGCCCATATGTGACTGCAGTCCACTACAGTGGAGTATCACAGAACTATATTCATGGGAAATGCATACAGGACCTTACAGCGTCCTACAAAGACGTCACCGAACTTGGGAACGGATACATTGCGACGAAACACTGCGTCTTTATCTACTTTAGATGCTTTATAAGTTATACCCTGATACAAATATTGCCCCTTGGGCTGGACACGAGATCACATCTGCTTCTCTGAGGAATAGCAAGGAAAGCCCCTGTGTTCCCAAGGGAATGACAGGGGATCCCCTGTGCTCCCAAGAAAGTGAACAGGGGGTCACCTGTTCACCCATGAGAGTCTGGGGATCTTCAGTCCCGTCCCTCCGTCCCCGCGCGTCCCGTAGCTTTAAGGTTCGGTTGGCGGACTGCCGGCTTTTCCGTTGTTTTTTTTATTTTATTTATTTTTCAATCAATTTTATTTATTTGTTGATTTTTTTATTTATTGTTATTTTTTATTTTTTTAATTTATTAACATGTCATGATGGATTATTTCGGGCGTCGAGAAACGAACTCCCACCTCGGGCCAAAGTGGAGAATCACTTAATATCCCGGACGACTCAGCTATATTGCCAAGCTGATAGAAGAATGGTGAACCTTGCGTTTACAGCGAAGAGCTAACGTGCAGGTTACTTGTCCACTTCGCAACCTTCTGCGCGTAGCGGCAGCGCAGTCAGGGCCGGATTTAGGGGGTGGCCACGTGGACCTCGGCCCATGGCGGCAAATCTAGGGGACGGCAAATTTTGCAAGTTTTTTAAACGTAGGTATAAAACAAATCGGATTTAGGAAAAAAAATTACAAACAAGAAAAGGCGACAAAATCTCCCATTTCCTGAAAGTATAGTAATTTCTAATTTTGTCATCTTTCAGTAATCCGAGAGACAGCATCTTTAATTAGCCGGTTAAGAGAGAAACAGAGAAGTGATGACGAGGACTTGAGATGAAAAGGTGAGGCCCTCGGCGCAGCGGTCGGCATGGAACATATATTAGCGCCTACAAAATTGCATGAATACTTCTCGCATTGCATCAAATACAGTGCAGTCACTGCGGTGTGCGGTCAGCGTGAAACGTATAGCGCCTACAAGAATGCATGAATACTTCACGCACTGCGCCAAACACAGTGCGGTCTGCGCGGCGCGGCGGCGGAAGTTCCAAAATCATTAAATAACATTTATGCCAGTTCTCTCATTATTTTTTCGTTCATTTCTGATAAATGGAAAGCCTTGACCACACAGAGATAGGTTTACGGAACTTAACTTTCGCGCAAGTTCCGTGAACTTTTGCTAATAGTGTTGACAGGGCTTTTCCAAAAAATGTGTCCAACACGAGTAAACGCTTCTTATGCACCCTTCCTCCTCCGGCACGTTCACTTGATGTTTTTTATTGATGTTTCAAAACGAATGAGGAGGAGGCACCAAAATACAGGCGGCCCATGGGTGGCAAGTAGGTGTAAATCCAGCCCTGGCAGCAGTTGGGGAGATATTCTGCAAATTTGCTCTTTTTTATAACGTGATTGTAAAAAACCTGGGTCCTACTTCTAAAATCTGATCAAAGCGGGCTCATTTACGGACTATCACCTGTTGATAACCGCAAAAATCATGGAAATCGGCCCGGTAGAACGCTCAAACAAACTGTGACAAAAAATAAATTTAACATTGTTTAAAAGAGAGAATTCACAACTTTAACACGTAAGATACAAAAACCTAGGTCATATTTTCAAAATCTGACTAAAGCGGGCTCATCTAGAGACAATTGCCTGTCGATGGCCGCAAAAATCATGAAAATCGGCTCGGTAGAACGCTTGAACTAAAGCGTTACCAGAAATGAAAATTTAGGAGGCCGAACTTATAGTATAGATTTTGAAATCAGACATGCGTGATTATACGAGAGAAAAAAAAGAAAAAACAATCCCTCTACCATGCACCAAAAAAGATATTGGCGCTTAGGAATTGGCGATTCGGAAAATAATCGGTTCAATTAACCTTAGACTGCAAATTAGATGCTAGAGTCGTAATGTAAGTGGGAGAGCCGGCGCCACTTTTTAGCAATTATCAGGTCTCGAATTCCGTAACACCCGGTGCGGGTGCGGCGCTGAGTCACTTTTTCGATACATAGTCGATTGTTTGCGATACTTGGGGACCCGGCCATGGAATCACTCCCTACTCCACACTGTCATTTTGGATCGAAAATGTATCGAAAAAGTGACCAGCACACCGGGCTCGGAACTTGTTGAGCAAAACATGGCGCCAGCTCTCCTATTTACATTGCGACTCTATGTGCTCTATGTTGAAAATTCAAAAATATCTTAAAGAGACCTCCCCTTCGTTCGAGGTGCCTGGTTTCGCCTACGCGAGGAGGCCCAGTGGCCATATTCTCCGAATAAAAGTACTCTGCTTTTTGTTTCAGGTGAGGACAGCCAACGCTCAGAGCACACAGTGTCCGAGTACATAACCTCCAATGAGCGGATGAACACGATGGGTGGCGGGAAGAGAGAGACCCGGTCGCCGGAGAGGGTCCACGGGAAGCACTCGCGGTCTCGGAGCAGGAGCGGGAGCCGGGAGTACATCCCGAGCCGGGCCAGCTCCCGCGGGAAGGAGTACTCTCATCAGAGCCTCGGCAACGGGATCAACGGGATCAACGGGATGAGAGGGCACGACGACCAGGACAGCTCGGACATCTACGTCACTAGCGGTGCCTATCGCGCCCCATCCGAATATAGGTACATGAAACATGAGAATATCGCTTATCGAACTGACTTTGAAATCGAGATCGACAACAGGTGCGTCCTCCTCGCAGGTATAGCAACCCTACCCAATTGAATGTCACTCTGGGTGCTCGCTGTAATCCACCGCCAGAGTGAGTTCCTGTCGCACAGAACTAACTGAAAAATCATTGCTACGAGAAGGGCAGCAGTCGGCCATCTTTGCTCCGATTTTTGAAATCCTCGCTTCCCCGTTCAGCCTATCGTTTTAAATTTCGCGGGGAAAAAGAGCAAAGTCCGCTTCCAAAAAGTGACTATGCGCGACCTTACGGGAGGATCTGCCAGCTTCCTTTCTGGTAGCTATTATTTTATGTTTCAAGATAAGTGAAACGAAGGTCGTCACCCCCGGCCAAAGTACCAAAAGCGCCACGCGACGTTTCAAAATTTCCGCCGCCATTATATTTTTATACGGAGAAATTGTTCAACGAAGCTGTTCGAAAGTGTCACTGAATTTTCTTAGTGCTGCCGATAAAATTCGGTGAAATTTTTAAACAGATTCAACCTACGATTTCTTTGTAAAAAAGTAAAATGGCGGCGGAAATTTTGAAACGTCGCATGGCGCCTGTGATATGACCGGAAGGTGGTATACCCTCGTTTCGTCCCGAGTTCTTGGCGTGGTCGAACTGACGTGCGCTATATCGCATCGGTTCCGTAAGTAAAAAATCACGACAGATTTGGATTGTTTGGTTCAAAAGGTAACGACAGCCCCTGAGCTTAATGAATCATTTTCGAGAAAGGAATTGCAAAATTCAGAGGGATTAAATCAGGGTTCTCAATGGGAAAAACGTTGCACTCGACGCAGAAGTTGATTACTTAATCGGGAGCAACGTTTTTTCCACAAAAAAATGAATTTCTTTCATTTCTCTGAATTTTCCACATTTTCTGGTTGAGACTGCTTCTCAAGGCTCGTGCGCAGAGGCTATCGTTCTTTCTTTTGAATAAAAAGCCAAAGTCTGCCAAGATGTTTGACTCAGTCAATGCGATTTATCCCGCACAAGTTCGATCTCGCCAAAAACTCGGCATAAATCACCCTATTTAAAAAATATGACTACATTTCAGAATTTTTAAAAAAAATTGTATTCCTTACAAACAGTCCGGCAGTGGAATGTGTCTACGAAGGGCGGTAGAGAAAACGTCCTCTTAATTCCATTGCAACGGCTTCAGATTTGTAAGTAGGTAACAGTTCATCAAAGTCACCGCAGCTGTGAATGGGATATCGTAATCAGTCGAAGGGAGTGAAGGGACCATCCCCTAATTTTTTATCAGCAACAATTAATGACGTATTATCTCTCAACAGAAACAAAAATGGCCAGCCTGCTCCAACAGGGAACACACATTTAGCAAGAATCACCATTCAGGACTTCAGGAGTCAGTAATAGGATGAAATTGAAAATTAGCTAATTTTTTACAAGCACACTCACCCCGCATGCTCTTCTAAACTAGAGTCCCTTTATAACCCAGAGTTAAGACAACTCGATTATCAGCTGACTGGCAGCCGGCCTTGGCTGGCCATGGAGGCCGAAACGAGTGCACTCAAACGAACGATATTGAGGGATAAGGATAAGGAATCCTCCGATGTCTGTCATCCAAAAACAACAACATCAACAAAAACTGATCAAAACCTTAAAATTAGATTGATTAGTGGATAATTTCTTAATATATTTTCATTTTGGTGCGATTAAAATAACAATTCACTCTTGATAAACCACAATTTAGTTATATTTTCATTACTTTTGTTCACATTCGAGGTACCGCCATCTTGGTGCACTCGTTTCGGCCTCCATGAGCGAGAACCAATCAGAATTGGATTTTTTTTTAGGCCACTTTCAGCCTAACCAAAAGTGAGTTGTCTTAACTCTGGGTTATAAAGGGACTCTATTCTAAACATATGTAAAGCAAATATTAGCAATTCGTATACCATAGTGGGAGTAGAAAATTCTATGTTTCTCGGTTTCTGACGTTGAATACTGTCAACTGACTGTTAAACTTATGGGAGTGGCTATCATAGGAGCAACTACCTGCCCCCCAGAATTTTAAAAAGTGCCATTTAGTTCCCCCTCCCCAGGAAGTATTAACTTCCAATATACAATTCTATATTTCCTTGCTGCGCATTGCAAAATGAGAGGTAAAGGAATAAACATTCTCATAAAATCACAAGATCCACAACATTTTTGATGATTTCTTTTTTTTGGAGTAGCTTCACAATGCATCAAAGTGCAGTCTATTTTTCTCAATTATCTAAGAAAGGTCCGTTGAAGCCGTTTGGAATTCAACACTTCAAATTGCATGCGAAAACATTAAGTAAATATATATTCCTCATGAAACGCCAATGAATCAAAACTTTTAATGCACGCAATATCGAGGTACCTAACAGCTAGAGTTTTCTAGTTTCACGCTGGAAATTTCCTAATCTTACGTTAATAAGGTTTGAAAATATTTTTAATCTCACTCGTATTAATTTAAGATGCGTGCAAGATTGATTATAATATTTGAATTCCGTTTCATCAAACTTTATAATTTATAATTTCACAACTACCGTTTTAGATAAGCATGCTAATTAATTCCGAAAAGATGTGTTTAAGTATATACTTCACTTCTGTGACATTCCAGTTACACCCTTCTGTCCGACGAGCGAACGACTATAAAAGTGACGGCAGTTTCGTACGCTCGTCAAAACGCAGCTGAAGTTTAGAAAAATAAATTATGATGTGAAAATGAATGATAAAAACACTGGACAGTTTTAGCAAAGAGTTCTTCTCATAATTTTTACCCTCAGACACGTAACCGATAGTTTGAAGAACCGGCATTCCGTATACTGAATTTACTGAAACCTATAGTCAATTTGATTCGCACATGCAAGCAAAAAACCTAAAGATTTACATACTCAGTCAATTTGTTTATAATTGTTGCACCTGCTATTTAACACAATTAATTCTAACAGATAACAGAGTCGAGGGCTAAGAAAAATTTAGTTTCAGAATGTATATTCCGGATTAACTTATCACCTAATCGAGACAATAAAAATTGTTCCATGCCTTGGCTATTAGCTTTAAAATAATGTATTAAAATACTCGGAAAATTTATGAGGACGTTAGATACCCAATCGAGAGCATCACGATCATATGCTTGGTTATATATTATCGGATTGGATTCCCATGCAATGAAATATGAACATTTGAACCATAGTTGGCATCAAGACATGAAACCCATTCTAAAAATTCCATCGTCAGGAAAATTACCGGCGCTGTATTTCATGCAGAACATTGTCATGATAAAAAAACATATTTTGACATTATTTTTGTGCGAAATGTTAGAAACAGAAAAGTTAGATGTTTTCGTGATAGGTATTTTTGCAATTGTTATCCCAAAAATATTTTTATTTTAGAATTTTCAAAATATTTTGATAGTAAAACTTGAAATTTTATTCCGGCTAGGTATACCTGAACAACATCCAGAAACTTTTAAAATGGAAACATGTACCGATGCGTTTTAAACACATGTTTAAAAAATTTTCAAAACTCTGTAGTAATGCCAGCGAGAATAATATTTTGCTCGGAGGTGATTTAAGTTCTTGCATTGTCTGCCATCGAATTGATGTTGCACAGCTGAAAAGCATTATCATTACCGACTGATAAATCGCCTTCAATGTGATGCGATACATCACAACAGTACACAAGTGTAAATTAAGTTGCCTGTCCAGGTATACGAGTATACGCTAACATACGCTCGGCTGCGGCATCATGAACTCCGATCTTATTCGCTCAGTTGGACTACATTTTGCAATTGGGATCTACAATTTCTGGCTCATCCGTAAAAATGTAATGTTCATCGGGAAACTAATGGTACATACGTTGTTCCTAAACTGAGCTTGACATTTTAGTTCCTACAATTATTGTAGAATAAAGTCCAGTTTTCAGTTGAAAAGAAGAAGCAGAAGAAAAGTAAGTAAGAAAGTTCATTCATAAGCCGGAGCGGAAATTAATTATCTCAGGAAAGACGATTTTCCAGAAATCGATGAAAACTGAATTAGAGCGAGGAGTTTCGATGAGAGGAATATTTGGACAGGAGAAAGAGACCAAGCCACATCGGCTTGCGGATTCCTTCGCAAATTTCTAGGAATTTATACTTCGTACTACGCAGAAAATTAATTGACATCAGTACAAAAATCCGCACAACTGTTTTTATGCAAAAGATTAAATTGCTCAGTCTTTGGAAAATACCTGATGTGATACTCGTAACTTGGTTCTTTTCTGCTTAACGCGGTCCATCTGGGTGCATGGTTGTATTTGATTCGGCTTTTGTAACATTTGTAGGTACATCATCGACTGTGCTATACCTATACATGGTTCTTTTTAGCATGGGTAAATAGACAAAATTTGAGTTGAAGGAATCTTCCAGAAAATGACCAACGGCTTTGATTTTCTTATTTTTCAGCCGTGGTTCACGTTACTCTCCTCAAAGCCGAGCGCCGAGCCGCTACTCGTACGTGAGTGGTCCTCCAGGCTCACAAATCTCAGTGAAGACGAAAGTTAAGAGGAAGCCCGGCATGACAATAGAAACAATGTCAGCTCCTAATCCATTCTGCCCCAATACCAAGGGTATCTGCTGCCTCATGCTCCTCTTAAATCTAGCCCTAATTCTTATTGCATTGGGTTTTGTTATCGTTGTACAATTTTTCGAGCCGTTGTTCGTTTGGTAAGTGTGCCTCTCCTTTCTTGTTAGGTATATATGCTGCCGTGCTAAGGAAGAACGCCGCACCAACATTCGGGAGTCGCCAAATTTCCCGAGATAAAATGTTTGTTTGTGAGGAAAGTGATAAATATTTTTCCGAGAAATTTTCAGGAACTTTAGGTGAAATTGCAAAAAAAAAATATTTTGAGAAATTGGGAGAAAAATATTTATAAGTTTACTTACCAGGAAATTTGTGGTTTATCGGAAGAAATTTGGCAACGCGTGGAGGTTCGCATACGGCGTTTTTCCTTAGCACGGCAGCATGGTCAAAGTGCAAAACCACGCATCTCCCCTTGTGACGTTGCAGATTTCCTGTCATGCACCATTTTTTCTTTCGAAAACTAGTCAACCATTTCACTAAAAAATTGCCGTAATTTTCTTCTGTATTCGCAGAATATTCTGTATAAATTCCAAGTTGTAAAGTTGTTTTGCTTCTCCTCGAAAAAATAAAATAGCAAAGGAAATTTTGGAATGAACACCACAATGGAGATATCATCGTTCCTCTGACGTAAGGGCGTATCTCAATCTCCACGAGAGTCTTATTTGGACGCAATGAGCTTGTTCAGCAATTCGTAATTCTTGCATTTTTGGAAACTAGAGAGTGCACAGAGTTCACAGGAATTTTTCCCGATTTTTTTGAGCAATATTAACCCACGAAATACGAGTCCAAAAGTCCGTATTTTGTGCTCCCATTTAAACGCGCGCCGCTTGGCCCATCTCAAAATGGCGCCCATTATCTCCGTCCGGCGGTGGCCACACTTTTGACCTGGCGTGCCGGCGGGGTACCTCTGCATGCCTCTGCCGTGTGTGGGTTTTTGCTTCCTGCTGAGATGCGGCAAACGACAAGCAACGTACACCAAGGAGTGTCACCTCTCAACTATCTCAACGTAAACACCGCGCTTTTGATTTGAAACTGATTTCCTCTTATCACTCGCCATCAAGGTACACTCTACTACAGGTTAGAGTACCTGTATAGCGAGAGTATGGACAGATCGCTTCATGGAGGGCTTAGGGCCCAAAAGTGCAGCCACCCTTCTAACCAACTTCCAACGCACAAAATTTCACTGCCAGTCTGCAGGTTCCAATTCTAACCAAGATGCCCAAGAATGTACATAAATGAGCGTTCTTCCGGAAAATTGAGTAAATTTATGCAAAAACGGAGTCAAACACGTGCTTAATAAATGACGGTTCGTAACAATAGTATTAGTAAATCTTTCTGGATAATTGAAATTCATAGGTTGGCTGCATTTCTGGGCCCTAACTTTATTCGCAGAAGCATCGGTGAAGGCCTGATGGATTTTCGGAGTTTCACATCTGTCCATACTCTCGCTATACAGGTACTCTACTATAGAGTACCTGTATAGCGAGAGTATAGACAGATGTGAAACTCCGAAAATCCATCAGGCCTTCACCGATGCCTTCGCGAATAAAGTTAGGGCCCAGAAATGTAGCCAACCTATGAATTTCAATTATCCAGAGCGATTTATTGATACAACTGTTACGAACCATCGTTTATAAAGCGCGTATTTGACTTAGTTTTTGCATAAATTTACTCATTTTTGTGGAAGAACGCTCATGTATGTACTTCCTTAGCCATCTTCGTTAGAATTGGAATCTACAGACTGGCAGTGAAATTTTGTGCGTTAGAAGTTGGTTAGAAGGGTGGCTACACTTTTGGGCCCTAAGCCCTCCATGAAGCGATCTGTCCATACTCTCACTATACAGGTACTCTACTCTACTACAGGTATGGACAAATGGAATTTTAGAAAGTCGTCAAAACGCGTAGATTTGACATCATCGAGAGTACGACTGCCAGAGTTAAGAAATTTCATGAAAGATTATAAAAAGAAATTTCATAATGAAATTTCATGAAATTTCGTGAAATTTCATTTAACACGCAGAATTCAGGATTAAACCCTTGAAACTTATGAATCTCCTTAAGTTCATTTATAGGCACGTGGTAAACTGTGAAAGGGAACTTTAGAAATGCCCAGAAAGTTGAGTAAAACAGCAAAAACATAATTTTGAATTTTTTATCTTAAATTTTGGTTGAACACACAGCCGTACCGGTTGAACACCAAAATAAATTTTACGGCTAAAGTAAGACGTTAGCTTTCATATTTGGAGCAAAACAAATTTCTTGACTATAAAGAATCCTACTAACCCCTAATAGTATTTCGTTCTTTTTTGGTACAAAAGGGAGGGATCTTGAACTATCTTTGAAACAATTTAAATGATTTTTTCAGAAATTAACAGTTTGAAATTTGAGGTTAGGGTCCCCGGTCCCCCTCCCCATGATGAGCCAGAACTGCCAGAAGAGATAGGGTCCCTTTATACCCAGAGTTAAGACAACTCACTTTTGGTTCGGCCAGGGCTGCCAGAAACGGGACTTGAGAAAGTGCACAGAATTTGAGTCCAAAGTACAAAATAATCCGAAATTTTGGGGGAAAGTACAAAATAATCCGCGAGAAAGAAAGTACACAAATAGTACACATTTTTTTCAAATATACACAAAAGCACGCCAAAAGTACTTGGAAGTCTACAATTTGATCCCACGATTGAGTAGAATTAGGTAGAATCAACCATTGAATAACAGAGAGGGATTTCTGCGGGAATTTTAGCCTAATAAATTATTTGCGCCACTAATTCGGCGGGAAATTTTAAAAATTCTTTGAAAACTCGAGATTATTTCCTAATTTTGAAAAAAATTGTACACAGAGTACACAAAATTCGGCGAAAGTACACAATTAATCCGAATTCTGAAAAGTACAAAATAATCCAAAACGAAAATCGATAGTACACGTGTGT